CTTTTCTTTTAATCATATAGTGTTTAGTGTTGGACAAGTGGAACAAGTACCCGATTTAAAATATCCGCTGTTGAAAACAGCTGCGTGCCATATATTTTCAATTTTTTGCTACAACGTATAACTGTGAGTATTTGTGCTGTGCAATGAAATCGGTAAAGTCAAAATACCGTTCACAATTAGTTGCATTCGCGTACCTGAAAATTATTGAAAGTTATAAAAACTATCAGCTTTTTGTGTTCGCGTACGAAAAAAACTTGCAAAGTAGGGAAATTGAGAGGGCAAAATGACATTTCATTTTGAGGGAAAGCTGCTAGTTTCTGCTGGAAAAATGTTTGCCAACAAGAGAACAGCTGATCAAAAACAGCTGGTTGGAATTTACGCAAATCCCTTAATTGAATTTGATGATTTGGAAGTTGAAATAGTAAGATTCGAGTAATTAAACTAGCAAGAAGTAAGTAATCATTCGTTTAGACAGTGAACTATGTCTGGATAAGACTTCGGGATTTGTTTCCTTATGTTTCTGATTTTATACCTTTGTATGTAAACAAAATTTCTAACTTGCAAGTTTCTGCAAATTTTCTGTTCGCGTACTATTTTGGATATTTTTCTCTTAGAACAGAACAGATGAGATTTCGCCGGAACTTTGCTGTTGGACATTTTTAACTGGAGATTTTAAAGGAACGTACCAATTGACTAACCAACATTTAACAGAACTGCTACGAACGGCTTTAACCCACGTAAAACTAGATTTTGATAATTTGGCCAAATACTCTTTTGAATTCTCTTTAATATCTCTCTTAGGTACATTAGAATGATAATGTTTTAATGTTTTTATTTCTAATAATATATGTATTTAAAAATAAAATTTTAGTTTTTTTTTTGTTTTTTTCTTGTGGCTCTTTGTAGCATTTAGAATTTACATGTGGCCCTTTTCGGCCTCGGCCTTGCCCACCCCTGCTATATACTATGTACATCAGGGATGGAAAATGGAAATTGTAAATTGTACCTAATTCGAAAAAATAATTGTACGTAGATCACAACTTTAAGCTATGTTTAAATTTGAAAAAGGCCCTTCGAGTCACTTAAGGAAAAAATTTAAAAAAGCAATTTTTTCTCATGCATCACTGAATATCGTTTTGGTACGTTTCTAAACCATTTGTATACACGGGATGCCTCTGTCCTACGCATACTGACACAGATTTCAAAAGAAGAGATTGGTCAGGCGGTAGCCTTGAACAAAATGACCCCGCTTATTAGGGACAACCGTAACTTCGGTTGTTGTAAAGGACTTCGTTTATTTTGACGCCCGCACAAACATCACTACCAAGGTTAGGCTGGGACGCAACGAAGAATAACTCTTACCAATAGATGTCATTTTTAACAATTCGAGAGCAGAAACCCTCCCATCGAACAAAAATCACGCTTTACAAATATGTAATCACTTTTGTCCCACATTCGAGAGAACATATTTACACAAGGTCTGTGGTCCTTCAGATTGGTTTCGCTACATTAGAGTGTACCTAAAAAATACTGCATTTGTACCCTCCATTTAAAAAAAGGTCTAAAAAGGGTATAATTGAGCCTACTTTTCCATTACAGACTTACAAACTTACAAACATATGTATGTACATAATGAATATTTACCTTAATTGGCTGATAACAAAAACAACTGCGACAACTACCTTCAAAACTTCGGAGAGTTCAACAACAAACGATAAGGCCACTAAGCAAATGTACACACATATGGAGTATATCGTCGGTGATACTGCAAAACGTTCTATGTCACTTTTCACCTCTGATGCTTAATTGATCCGTTATCTGCATCTGATCGCTTCTGGCAATCGTTCATCTTCATCGGCCAAAGGTAGACAGTTTTGTCATTCGTTTCTTAGGGTGTAACGATTTGCAGATGCATTCCGGTGCAAGTAAGAGACCATTTAAGTGTCAAAGGTACAAATTGACATAGACCGTTTTGCAGTATCATCGACGATATAGAATATTACACGTATAGAAAGAGATATCAGCAATGTGGAACCGTAACCAATTCGGGAACTTTTATTATTGCTTGTTGTTTATAATAGTGAAAAGGTGACGTTCGCCGTAGCTCGTAGCGTTTTTTCAATGCCGTTCGCCGTTCGCCTTTCGCAAGCCTCCGAGTATATTCCGCCATTGTATTTCAGTTTTTAGGGTGATTTTTATGTAATTTTAGGTTTTTACCATACACCATACCTCATTTCCCCTTTGTTATATTTTCTGATTAGCTAATCGTGAAAACAATTAAAATAAATATAGATACTATATATAAATTACGCCGTCTCCGAACGGCAGATGGTTTATTAAAATGTATTACTAAGGCGTTCATGTTCCGAAATCCCCGAATTTTTACTGTGACTTATTTACAGAGTGAAAGTGGTGTTGAACACGAAAAAATAATTCACGAAATACGAAAAATACAGAACAATAAAATTTAGATTCAAAGTGATCTTAAGTCATTTGCACTCGAAAGTGAATTTGATTAAATTACGGACTCTTTTACTAAGGTGCACTATGCTCCACGTAAGACCAAATGTGGCGACAATGAATCTGTGTGGTTTCCTTTTTGGATTGCTAAGAACTGTGCGCTTAGTGCAAAATGCATAAAGTCAAAAGCCCGACAAATCCCGGGATTATTAAAATGCTTCGGGATTGAATGCCCTAGTATGTGCTTTCACATGGTATCGATCATATCAATAGCGCGCCCCATTTCAAAATGATATAGTTTGCCACTAATGTTTGCTTATTTATTTTTAAGAAGTTTCAATAACCAATCTAACAAAACCCAAGTTTTAAAAATTGTAGAAAACTAAAAAAATTCATCAAACTTTCATACAAATTTTCATTTTTTTTTTTTACTATACAATTTTATAGCGCATTCAATTTTAGTGCAATAATGTGCATGCTTCAAGTAGCTGAAAATTACCGTTGATTTTTTACATTTTTTTTTTTGTCTCATTTATTTTCATATAACGAATAACTAAACAAAATTTATTTTTATATAGCCAAACTGCAACATCTTTGGGGGAAAAAATTCTAAAAGATCAAAGATATTTTTTAGCCACTTGAAACCTGCACTAAAATTGAATGGGCTATAAAACTGTATACTTAAAAAAATTCTAACACTCCTGAGAAAAATGTTTGAAATTTAGATGAAAATTTGTTGATTTTTTTTTTAAGTTTTCTACAAAGCCTTAAACTTGGGCCTATATGGGTTTTGTTGGAGAATTAATTGTACACTGAGAGCAAAATCAACCAAGAACTGGTTAATATTACCAAATTTAAACTTGAAAAGAAGTCAACGTGATTTTTGGTTAATATTACCAATTTCAAGCTTGAAAAAGAATCAATGTATTTTCAACCATGATTTGGTAATATTAACCACAATTTTGTTTACAATAACCAAACTTTTGGTAGGCGATTTTTTCGTTTGAACCGCTTATGTTCTGCACTTCACAGATGCTTTTTCATAATTCGGAGATACAAAAAATGTATAATCATTTTAATACGTTGCCTCTGACGGTTCAACTACAAGTTCAACTACAGCCAGGCATACGCATTGGTTTTAAAATTTTCAATTTGGATCATAGTCCTTACAATCGCTGTATTAACCATGAAAAAACCATTGTACTTTTGGCTCAGTGTATTTTAATTGAAAATTCTTAAAAAAATAAATAAATAAACATTGGTGACAAACCATATCACTTTTCAATGACGTGCTATTGATATGACCGATACACTTGAAGGTATGACATTTCCTGCCGTGGTAAGAGCGCGCTCAAAAAAACGCTAGCGTGTTGCAAATGTATGTATGTATGTATGCAAGCGCACATATCTACATACATGCATACAAATTCAGTTAGCAATTTCTTTAAGGTTTGTTGCGTTGCAGTTCATTCACAAAAAGTTTTTAGTGAGTATAGTGAGACGTGAGAATTCACCTCCATACGTGCATACATACTTGCTTTGATTGATACGATCTTTTGCTTCTGTTTAATAAAAAGTACGCTCCAATATAAAGTGTAAGGGAATGAACGCCAACGCCACCTTTGGCTGTAACGGCAACGGTGTTATAATACGTGAAAAAGGCAAAGCAAGGAGACGGTGGTCACAAATCGCCGCCAGCGACGATGCTAATTCATGTGTGCTACTCCGTTATGCACGCAGCTCCAATCAGGAATTTCCGTTTGGCTGCAACAACTCCCTCAACAACATCTCTTCACTCAACACTGACACCTTGATTACATCGCTTGTACCACCACAAGCAAGGCTATCGCTGCAACGACCCGCTCGTTTCTTGAAATCACTGCCACACCAACGTCCGAACGTAATTGAATGTGTATGCTTTCTTTGCACATTGACTACCCTGAACTTAGCACTTTCATCAAGTCTTAAAATTAGTTCTAATTTTCGATATATGTATATTAGACTGCATCACTCCCCATACAAAAAAAAAATCGGTACTATTTTTCCATTGGTATTATAAAATCTATTATATTTTAAGACGTCGACCAAAATATTTCGGAAAAATATTAAGATTTAAGTGAGCTGGACCAATTTCAAAATACCTCAAAAAATGGAGTTTTTTATGAATAAAAATAGTTTCTTAAAATTTTTTTTTGATTTTTAATATTTTTTTGCAGATTTTTTAAGCTTAATCTGTTTTGTCATCTGAGGGAACTTTTTTCAAAAAGTTCTTTAAGAAACTATTTTTATTCATAAAAAACTTAATTTTTGGAGGTATTTTCAAATCGGTCCAGCTCACTTAAATCTTAATATTTTTCCCAAATATTTTGGTGAACGTCTTAGAATATAATAAATTTTGTAATCCCGGCGACGGAAAAACCGCAACTTTTTTTGGTGATGCAGTCTAATGTATATACATACATACTGAAATACATATGTATGAACAAACTCGCATAATATTACTCTCACATAATATTTTGTTTTTTTCTTGCTTCTTACAGAAGAATAAAGAATTAATGAATGATATAATTACCAGCTGCAAATTGAAGAATGGTGAGTTATAATAAATTTTGTTAGTACATATATGTATGTGTAATGGAAGCTCAAAACATATTTAGCTAACTAATTCAAAACTATTCTGATAATTTAATACGTCAGTCTGGGTTCGCTTTTGAACTGTAAATATACATTTGGATGCAAAACGGGGGTGTCCGATTGCCAGCCAAAAATTTGGGTGCGCTGTTAGGAACAATTGTTTTATGTATAAAAATCGTCGCCTGAATATGAGGCCATGAGAGCACATTTTTTTTTTTTTCATAATTAACTTCTTAAAATTGGTTCAAATTGGTAAGCTTTAAAATAAAGGTCGCGTATTCCTTAATTTGGTGTACGCTATGTTGTCTTTCACCTCAAAATAAGCGAATAAGCGACTTTAGTTTTAAAATTTATCGCATTGGAGTCTACATATTTTGAGTAGGTAAATGCAAAAAAAAAATAAAAAAATGGGTTACGCCTCTTCTGCTCTCACGGCCTCATATAAGTTTATCGTAACAACCATTTTGACGATTTTTAGTTATAGATACAGTTAAATATTTCAAAATAAGATCTTTCAAATGGCCTTATTTACTTTTGGATATATTCTTCAGTTTCCGATAATTTAGTAAACATTTTCTTCACATTTTGCCGTAGAAGAAAATCCTTCGTAAACTCAAAAATAAGTAAACTGCAAACAAAGAAAACTAAATATTTTAAAAATTTCGTGCACCATTAACGTTCGCCGGTACTTAAGGAAAATCTATAATCACGTTACAAATTCAATCACGATTTCCCAAAGTCTGCCGAAAGTAACTTACGACAATACTTCACCCAGGCGACGATATGTATGTTCATATAAAGGTGGCCTCAAACAGATGTGACAATACCGGTGCCATACAAAAATTTACGATATGTGACCAACACAAAACATTGCGGTATATAGCAGTGCTCAAACAGATGCGGTATACATACGGTGACCATATTTATGGGAGCCGAATACGGGACAAAAAATAATTTTTCATATTATTTGCAAAAAAAACCTACAGCTTAAAGCCTTATTCAATGATCCTAGATGTATTATAGTAACATCAAAAATTTGTAGGATATTCTTCTCGAGATTTTTACCGCGCCAAATTTGTTTAAAAAGATTCGTTAAATTTAGTACAATAAAGTGCAATTTTTAAGCCGGTAGGACTTACCGTTAATTTTTGGCCTTTTTTTTTAGACGGTGTTACAAATTTTTTTCATACAAAGTATGTTCGACAACTTTTTAAAAGAGAAGAAAATGAGCAGCACTTTCCACTTGTACTTTATTATACTAAATTTTAATGAGTTACAAAACTGCAAGACAAATTTTTTTTTAAGATTCTAACTAAAAAGTTTAAAATTTTAGTGAAACATTGCAGAATTAGTTTTTAGAGTTTTTTGCACAAAGTCTGAAATTTGGATTTATATGACTTTTGTTAAGAAAAGAGCTTTACTTTCACAAAAAAATAGTAAACATTAAATACACTAAAGACAAATAGCCAAACCTTGCTAAAATGTCGAGTCCTAATTTATATTTTGGACACTATATGTATCCCTCGATTACAATCACAGTCATTCGGGTTAGAAAATAATAACTGTTTATGGAGAAAATTACGATCATACATATACCAACATCTCTTAAAACTGGTTCATGGCATGCCATTTTAATGTACCGTTAAGGCGTCGAAATACCGAACACCGAATACGGGACAAATGCAGGATATCAAAAAAATACAGAACATTTGGCGTCCAGTATAAAATTAATAAATTAGCAGGACAATTGGTCAAAAAAGAGGACTGTCCCGTATAATACAGGACGGATGGTCACCGTAGGTATACAGGTGCGATGCGATGCTTTCAAAAATTGTATCTCAGCAAGCACGATATCGATCGCACGATTTGAGTGTCTTTTTCATTGTGGAGTTCTGAAATTGTAAATTAATAATTCAACTCGTCAATTATTACCCCATATTATTCTTACCATCTGATGTATTCGGAATATGAAGATTGACGTGAGAAAGATGAAGCGCCACAGTGTGTCGTATTGCACCAGTTTGAGGGCCTTTTTGCTTTCTATCGTTATCGCATCAAATACGATATCTTATCGCATCAAATACGATATCTTATCGCATCGATAGTATCGCATCTGTTTGAGACCACCTTAACGAGCTAAGAATGCACTTAGAAAAAAAAAACCAAAAGCAGATCGGAAAATTTAGTGTAATTGAATTGAATTTGAATAGTTATTGGCTCTGGGTTATTTATGTATGTGCATACGCAAATTATCTTGTATTTTTTTAAGGATTCGGTTCCGGTGTATCACCAGTTGCGTCATCGCCAACTAAACGCCCATTAAGTCCAGACCATCCGAATCCCGCATTACCAATTACCGAGGTAAGAACCGCTGATAACACAAATTATGGACTATGATTTAAGAAATTATTTTCACAAAAAAAAAACAAATATTTGTACAGTGAGCAACTTTATTACTCGTTTTTTTTTTTTGTATTATGTCTTTGATATTAAATTTCATCAAGAAAAATTAAAAAAATTAACTTTTTTCACATTATATTTAGTTACGATGCTGTAGTTACGACTGCTAAAATGATATGACTAGAAGCCGAAACGAAAAACGAAAATGCCAGAATTTCACAAAACATTAATATTCGGTTTTTAATACCAAATATTTTCAAATATGTAAATGCATACAATATTAGGGACTACTTCATATTTAGTACCTACCCTATTATTTAAACGTTTTGGCGTGTAATTTATTGTATTTTATGGATAGTCTTGCCGGATTTTCGCACATTTTTTCTGAAACCTTTCTTTTTGCCCTCTTCGTAAAGAAATCGGCCTCTGTAGAACCCGCCTTTCCAACTTGTCCCAAAAATTTTCGATGGGGTTTAAGCTAGTAGATTGCGGAGAAGTATAAATCAATTTAGGATATTGCAGAACAGCCATTCAAGGACATTCTGAGCAGAATTCCTATTTCCTCAGATGATTGTTTCAAATTTTGCCTCAATATATTAAATAAATAAATATCCTCGTTCGTAATATTCTCGATAAAAACGAGATTTTTACTTTCCGTGATGAAATTCACCCCAAACTATTACATGGCTGCCTCCCTCCTTTATCGTCGGTTTTAGGCGCTGCGGCTTCAACGCTTCATTAGGCTTCCAACAAGCCATTCTTACGTATGTGCATATATGTTACTTCCAAGAAGGTTGAATTTGCTTTCGTCTACATATAAAAGTAACGATTTATGTATAAGAGCAAATCCCACGAATTGTTCCTTTTTAGTGCCATTAAAACGTTAATTAACTAAACTTATCTTAAAACATTTATTAAGGCGAAGAAGTACTGAAATTACTAATATTTTCATTGTCCCTCGAAAAAATTATAATTGTTTTTTTTTTTAATAACTTTGGTATGCTTTCAAATAGAATGTTCATGGTTGAGGCAATGGACGTGGGCTCAAATATAACATATCTGTGACGTTTCAAGAGTGCACCACGAAATTAAAAAGAACATGGCAACATGCAGAATATCAGCTATTTTGTAATTTTTGAAATTTTACGATTTTTTTTAATTTTAATAACTTAAGTCACTTCAAAATGTTAAATTTAAGCGATGAAAATGAAGACTAGTGTCTCACCAAATGAAAAAAAAAAATACATTGAGTAAAAGATGACTCTATGATGTGAGAAACTAAAATTCCATTTTTTGAAATTTCTATTGTTGCACTCGAAATTCATTCAAAAATTGTTATATACATGGAGAAAGAAATATACATACATATATGTGCATAAGGAATATGGTGTAAACATTTTAAATGCCAATATTTAATCACTTTTAAATAATAAGGCTTTTAAGTTAAGGCGTGCGAGTAAACTTGTTAGATGACTGCGTATGGTGCTACGTGGCGTATACGTTATATACGCAGGTATGAGGGTATACATATGAGCATAAGTGGTTATTTTTGCTTTTTCAACCGACTTCACAAAAAGGCGAGGTTATCAATTCGTCGGAATATTTTTTTTTTTTACGTATGTTACCGCATAACTTTGGACAACGTGAACCGATTTCTATAATTATTTTTTTAAAGGAAAGGTGTTGCCTAATTTGGTTTGGATCCGAACATTATATCATGAAGAAATTAACGATAATCTTAAATTTTTATATGAAAGCTGAAGTCGTTTTTTTGTTTTTGTGCTTAAAAATTACTTGTTTAGTATATCTTTTTTAAGATTTCATATAAACACAATTTCGCGATGGAATCTTGTTCTTTATAAAAAAAAACTGAATATAATGCATTTTCGAAGATAGGTGAACCACCATTTTCGACCAAAACACGTTTTTGTCGATAAATGCAACAACTCGTGGAATTCGCTGATATTGGTAAACTTTTTCTCGTTCGTTCGTTTATCAATGATTTTTTTTCCTCGTACATTGAGTCCTTCGGACGATTGGTTTGGGGTATACCTACCAGAGATGCAAAAGTAGGTACAATTATACTTTCTTCCGACGTTTGGTGACAGTCACTAGATTTTAGGCACAACAATCATTGGTCATCTTTGCGCTTTTTCCCCTTTCCTCTACCGTGATAATATAACTACTTATAGGACGGGAGAAGCTTCATTTTGAAGAATAAACAATTCTAAAGAAAAGTGGTCAAAAGGAAGAAATTAAAAAAGGCATATTATGTATATGTATTCTCTTAAACATTTTACATTGCATTTAGAGCAGCCACTACCAAAAATTAACACTTTACTTAGCTATCCTCAAATTCGTGTTTTTTTTCTATTAATTTTAACGCTTACTTTCACTAAGTCAAATTCAATGGCATTTTCGGTCAAATGAGTTAAAACAAATTGTCAAATGGGAATTAAAAAAATGGTCTTTTGATTGATTTAGATCAGAATAGGCCATCAGGCGTGTACATGCTCTGGTAAAGCGGCTATTTCTAAATTTTGGGCCCATAATAAATATCATCGATAAAGTTAGGGATAAAAGAAAGAAAGTTGTGTCAAAATATGTCGACAAATTTTGTTGTCAAAATATGACATATGTCTTCACATTTCATATTTTCTTTAGATGAGAACTACAGCTATTGCTTCGAAGTTACTTACGGCAATTTGATTATTTTCTCTTAACTTGCTGCACCTATAAAAAGGAATTGGATAAATTAGCAGACTTTTACTGTTATTTTATAAAAATCTGGATAAAGAAGTACACTTGGCAAATCCATCTTTTGGATTCATGTTTTAAATAAAATTTATAAAAAAAAAACAACAACAAATGAATATTTTAACCTTTTTTATTTACAATGTGTCTCATTTAGGTACATTTATTTTATAATATTTTAGGTACAATCTGAAATTTCCAACTTTAATCCCTCTCACTTACTCAGCAGCGAGTTTTTAGGATTTTGAAGAGGCAAAATTTTAAGCAATTATATGAAAAAAATGGCAATGGTGCGCAGTTTTAAAGTGACTCACTGTACATTGCAAAATGAATTGTAATGAATTCCGAATTCGCCCCGTTGCTGTTGCGAATGACTGAATTTAGGAATTCCCTACTTTTTATTCAACTAAAAAATAACAATTTTGTTACTACATACATATTTCTATTTGTTTTAAATCTTTACCAATGCTGCAAACAACAAAAACCGAATCAAACATCAACATCATGCTCAGTCACCGAGTCCTAATATGAATCGGATGGGATGGGCTTTGCGTATTCTTCTCGTCGCTGATAGCTCAAGTTGTCTGAGGGATAGAAAAGTAAGTGAACACTTATATATATATATATATATATATATATA